TCTCTCTCTCTCTCTTTTTTCTTTAATGATAATAATAACAAATTTTCTCTCCATTGTGCTGATTTTTTGGGGAAAGAATAATTATCTTTAATTTTTAAAACTTTATATATATTTTATATAAATATATGCGTACATTTATACATATATATATATAAAAAATATGTATATGAATGAAAGCATTTTCCGTTGGGTCCAAGTGAGCATTCCGAAAGAAAACTGGAGATAGTAGAATAAATTTTTATTTTATTCTTATTTTTTTTGTTTTTAAATTGTTTATGTTACTTATTATTTTTTTTTTGTTGTTGTTTTGTTTTTCTTTTGGGGTGTTTCTGTGTTAGTTTTGAAGAGGTTTAGTTCTCGACCAATCATGCGCAAGTATTGATTTCTTTGGTGTGTGTGTCAGCCAATCACGTGCAAGATTTGATTTGAATTTTTGTCTCAGCCAATCACATGTGAGGGTTTGATTTGAATTTTTGTCTCAGCCAATCACACGCAAAGTAACATTTTCTGGTGGGCCAATCACACTGTAGTCTTTGGTTTCGACCAATCACATTAGTTTTTAGTGTTATTTCAGCCAATCACGTCCGAGTTAGGACTTTTTAGTTTTTTGGCCGCGTCGCCTGTGAATTAATTTTTAAGACGGACCAATTTCGTTCGAGTTTTTGTTTCAATGTTGGCCACGAGCTCCGGGCTAGAGGACTTGTACATGAGTTGCATATATGAATTATATATGTAACTTATAAGTTTTGTATATGAGTTTTATATGACTTATATTTGAGTTTTATATATGTGTACATATATATATATATATATATATATATATATATATATATATATATATATAGTTATATATATATATATATATATATGTGTGTGTGAGTTTTATATGACTTATATATGAGTTGCATATACGAGTATATATATATATATATATTGAATTTTTGTCTCAGCCAATCACACGCAAAGTAACATTTTCTGGTGGGCCAATCACACTGTAGTCTTTGGTTTCGACCAATCACATTAGTTTTTAGTGTTATGTCAGCCAATCACGTCCGAGTTAGGACTTTTTAGTTTTTTGGCCGCGTTGCCTGTGAATTAATTTTTAAGACGGACCAATTTCGTTCGAGTTTTTGTTTCAATGTTGGCCACGAGCTCTGGGCTAGAGGACTTGTACATGAGTTGCATATATGAATTATATATATAACTTATAAGTTTTGTATATGAGTTTTATATGACTTATATTTGAGTTTTATATATGAGTTATATATGTGTACATATATATATATATATATATATATATATATATATATATATATATATATATATACATATGAGTTTTATACATATATATATATATATATATATATATATATATATATGTGTGTGTGTGAGTTTTATATGACTTATATATGAGTTGCATATACGAGTTATATATATATATATATATGAATTATATATATATCTTATAAGTTATATATATGAGTTATATTTGACTTATATTTGAGTTGTATATATGAGTTATATATGTATGTATATATATGAGTTATATATATATATATATGTGAGTTATATATGACTTATATATGAGTTATATTAGATATGAGTTATATATATGAGACATATTTCCTCAGCCAATTATATGCAACTGTTGATTTTTTTTTTTTTTTTTTTTTTTTAGCTCAGCCAATTGCGTCCAAGATAAGATTTTTTTTTTTCTTCTTCGGCCAATTCCGTTTGATTTCGCGTCACGTCCAGTCGCGTTCCACGTAATGATGAGGATTTTTTTTTTTTTTTTTTTTTTTTCTGGGAGTTAAAAGCTGCCTGTCACATTGCAGAAGAAAAAAAAAAAAGAAAAAAGGTAAAAGAAAAAAAATATTTTTGTGTAATTCTGATTTCTAATTTTATATAATATATATATATATTTTTTCCAATTTTTTGGCTTTGCACTTATTAGGATTTATATTACCCCCCCCACCCCCCTATTTTTTTTTTCTTCTTTCTTTCGTAAACGAAAGAAAATTTAAAGGAAAGCCAATTGTAGCGGAAGTTGCTAAGGGAAAAGAGAGCGGAAATCTGCTAAAAGAGAGTGGAAATCTGCTAAAAGAGAGCGGAAATCTGCTAAAAGAGAGCGGAAATCTGCTAAAAGAGAGCGGAAATCTGCTAAAAGAGAGCGGAAATCTGCTAAAAGAGAGCGGAAATCTGCTAAAAGAGAGTGGAAATTTGCTAAAAGAGAGAGCGGAAATCTGCTAAGAAGGAAATGCTAGCGGAAGTTGATGGGGGTAAAGTGAGCAGAAATCCGCTAAATAAAAGGTGCTTCTTTTTAGACGTAGTTTTATTACGTACGAAATTTATTTTTTGATTTTATGAAGAGCTACTTTTTCTGTATTGTCATTATTATTATTATTATTATTATTATTATTATTATTATTTGATATTATTATTATTTATTATTATTATTGTTGTTTTGTTATTATTATTATTATTATTATTATCATCATCATCATTATTATTATTATTACTATTATTATTAATATTACTATTACTACTATTTTAATTAATATTACTATTATTTCCATTAATTTTTCTTATTTTAATGATTACTTTTTTTTATGAGTTTCTTATTTATTATTAGATGTGTGTATATATATAATGATTTTTTTTCATTATTACAGTAATGAGTAGACTGTTAACTAGTATATAATTAATATGTATTTTGATTAATAATATATATTCTTTTCTCCTTCTGTCTGCTCCATTTTCTTGTCTCTTTTTCTTCTCTTTCTGTCTCTCTTTCTTTCTCTTTTTTTTCTCTCTCTTTCTCTCTCTCTCTCTCTCTCTCTCTCTCTCTCTCTTTTCTCTATCTTTTCTCTCTCTTCTCTCTTTCTTTTCTCTCTCTTATAATCTTAATTTCCTTTGTCTCTATCTTCTGTATTTTTTTTTATATATAATTTATTCATGTCTTTTTTCCTTTATTTCTTTATTACTTTATTTCTTTTTCCGTTCTTCATTTTGGTAGAAGAAAGCGAAAAGTAAAGAAAGGAAACGCTGATAATAATATTACTTAAAGAAATGATGATTTTGAGTGGGAAGAAAATGAGTGAGAAAGAGAGGAAGAGGGAGAGAGAGGAAGAGAGAGAGAGAGGAAGAGAGAGAGAGAGAGAGAGGAAGAGGGAGAGGGGTGAAAAGAAGAGGAGAGAAAGAGAGGAAGAGAGGAAAAGAGAAAGAGAAAGAATTAAGAGAGAAAGAGAAGAGAGAAAGATGTGGCTAAATGAGGACACAAATATAATGAAAGGAGGACAAAGAAAGAAAGAGAGAGAAGAGGAAAAAGAAGAATACCATAGAAAGAGAAAGAGAAAGAGAAAGAGAGAGAAAGATAGAGAGAAAGAAGAGAAAGAGAGAAAGAAAAAGAGAAAGAGAGAAAGAAAAAGAGAAAGAGAGAAGGAACAATTTTTTCCCCGAGAATTTCTGTCGGCTTTTTTCCCCCAAAGCCTAATATTCCTTTTAATCTGTTTTTCCTTTTTTTTTTTTTTGTGTCAATTTTTTGAACCAAATGATAAATGATGAATAAGAACATTTCTGTTTCATTATCCCCTGCGTTGAAATAATAATAATAATTAAATAATAATAATGAAATAATAGTAATAGTAATAATAATGATAATAGTAATTAATATGAATAATTAATTAATAATTAATAATAATAATGATTAATTAATAATTAATAATAATAATAATAATAATTAAATATTAGTAATAGTAATATTAATAATAGTAATAATAATAATGAAATAATAATAACAATTAAATAATAATAATGAAATAATAGTAATAGAAATAATAGTAATAATAATAATAATGAAATGATAATAGCAATTAAATAACAATAATGAAATAATTGTAATAATAATAATGAAATAATAACAATTAAATAATAATAATAATAATTAAATAATATATAATATTAATAATAATAGTAATAAAAATAATATTGATAATGATAAAATAATAATAATGAAATACTAAATAATAATAATGAAATAATAAATAATAATAATGAAATAATAATAATTAAATGATAATAATAATAATATTAATAATGATAATAATGAAATAATGTATAATATTAATAACAATTGTAATAAAAATAATAATAAAATGATAATAATGAAACAATGAATATTAATAATGAAAATAGTAATGAAATAATAATTACAATTAAATAATAATAATAATTAAATAATAATATTAATAATGATAATAATGAAATGATATATAATAATAATAGTAATAAAAAAATAATAATAATAATGAAATAATAAATAATAATAATGAAAATAATGATAATGTTAAGCATTGAATTAAACATCAACATTAACTTAAATTTGACATGAAATGCTTTGTCAACTGAAATTCTGAAAACGATTAATATTTGGGGTAAATATATAAGTTGTTCTTAAGAGCTCAAGAGTAAATTCTTAAAGAGCTTTTAAGGAAAATCTTAAAGAGCTCTTAAGGAAATTCTTGAAGAGCTTAGAAGTAAATTCTTGAAGAGCTTAAAAGGAGATTCTTAAAGAGCTCAAAAGTACACTCTTCAAGAGCTTAAAAGGAAATTCCTTAAGAGCTCAAGAGTAAATTAAGGAAAATTTTCCTTAAGGAAAATCTTTAAGAGCTCAAAAGTACATTCTTAAAGAGCTTAGAAGTAAATTCTTAGAGAGCTTAAAAGTAGATTCTTAAAGAGCTCAAAAGTACATTCTTAAAGAGCTTAGAAGTAAATTCTTAGAGAGCTTAAAAGTAGATTCTTAAAGAGCTCAAAAGTACATTCTTAAAGAGCTCTTAAGGAAAATCTTTAAGAGCTTAAAAGTAATTTCTTAAAGAGCTTAAAAGGTAATTCTTTAAGAGCTCAAAAGTAGATTCTTCAAGAGCTCAAAATTAAATTCTTAGGAGCTTAGAGTAATTTCTTCAAGAGCTTAAAAGGAAAATCTTAAAGAGCTTAAAAGGTAA